CGGCCGCCTCGGCCCCACGCAACGCGCAGAGGGGCCCGGGTTTGCAGGCGCCGGAGACTGGAACGCACAAAACAGCAGCTGCAGCGCTGTTGCAGCCGCGGGGAGCCAGCCTCCTGCTCCCAGCGCCTTCCAAGCTCCCAAGTAGGAATTTCCTCCCTCGAAACCCGGGAAGACTGAAGGCGGCGCAAGGCATGGCCCCTCCGCTCGCAGCAGCCTCTCGAACCAAAAGCCGAATCCCATCCCAGTCCGCAGCGACCGGAGACCCAGCTGCCCAGGCCCCACTCCCCAGAGCTTCCCTCGCCGCGGCGCCCTGGGGTTTTCGGGAGGCAGCGAAGGGAGCCCCGCCGTCTGCTCCAACAAAAGATAGCGGGGCTGGCGTCACCCACGTGCGCTCCCAGCACCACCGGCCGCGGGGACAATCCCACCCCCGCGCCCTTGCCGGGATCCCGGGAGCTCGGGGCTGGCGGAGGCGAACAAGATACGGTTTGACAGAACCAGGCCGCGCGTCCTGGAAACCACCCCGCTCCCCCGGCCGCCGCCGCCGGTCCCGGGAAATCTGCGAGACTGACTCCGCGGAGCCCAGGGCGAGGCGGCAGCACTGCCTGGGGCGCCTCCCGGGGCCCACTCGCCGGGGCTCCCTCCCGGGCCAGCCGCGGGCCAGGTTACCTCACTCGGTGAAGCCGGTGCATTCACCACCTCCCTGGTGCTCCTAGCAGGGCAGCCGGCCGCGCGGAGGCGGGGGCGCCGGCATGGTGGCTCCGGGTTTACGCGGGGGGCTGCGTGCGGACTAGAGGCTGTGCTGCCTGCGAAGGGGCACCCAACGCTGCAGCCCCGGCAGCCGCGGCCCACGGCCAGCACACACCTCCGCTCTGCGCCGCTCTCTCCCTAAAGACTTCCAAGCTGTCAGGCGCCAGAAGGGCTCCAAACAACGCAAAACAGCAGGGGGGTGGGGGGGCTCAATAGGATAAGCCCAGTGGCCTGCACCTCCCGGGAAGCCCCAGGAGGGAAAGTGGGGAGACCCGAGGAAGCCGTGGGAATGGTCCAAGTCCTCTCTGAGCGCCGCTTTCAGGGTTAAAGTTCCGGAATCCGAGGTAAGATATTTCTCTCTCTCTCTCTCTCTCTCTCTCTCTCTCTCTCTCTCTCTCAGAAATACAAGCCGACTCAGCTGAGCTCAGTGACGTTGGGCTGCCTTGATGCTTACAAAGTACTGGAATTGCCTATCCAACTAGCTCCTCTCTCTCTCCCTCTCTCTCCCTCTCCCCCTCTGCCTCCCTCCTTCCTCCCTCCCTATCCCTTCCCACTCCCTCCCCCAACCACATTTTCCATTAGATTTCCCGAACACTCACATCACAACAGGACTCTCAAACCCAGACCTGGAGATCACCCCCTCCTCTCCACCCCCTTCCCAGCGTCCATCCATCTCTGCTGCTCTGAGTGCGGCTCGGTGGCTGCAAAAATTCCTGCACAAATCATCGCAAACCAGCCGGCTTCTGCCCGGGAAGTCATCTCCGTGCCGCGGGCCGGGCCGTGCAGAGAGCGGAGTCTAAACGCAAGACGCATGCACACACGCCCGGCGCCTCCTCTGCAGCCTCACCCGCGTTCTCTTTCCAACGCTGACCTCAAGAGGGAGAGCGGCGTGACCCCGCCTGGCCCAGCCGGCAGCTAGCCGCCCTGACATCTCTCCCCCTCCCCACTCATCACCCAGACTCTCAGTGACTCCGGGGTGAAGGCAGGGTGAAGGTGTGTTGGGATGGGGGTCGAGATCAAAGATGCCAAGAAATCACCATTGGCCCCCACCCCCAGGGCCACCAGACCTCCCTGGCTGGATGTGTACACAGGCAATGCCCAGTTTTATTAAAATAATCAAACAGTCATTGGGGACTGGCTGGGGTTTTCATCTCCCCTTGGCTCCTCTCCCTGCCCCCCCCCATGTATTATTTTGAGGGTCGAGTTGAAGAGGTCAATACAGGCGTAAACAGTCAGGATCTTAGTCTGAGCAGACCCAGATTGGAGCCCCGAGGGCTTGGGGTAAATGTCAGGGTTCCCGGTCTCATCTCCCGTACCCCCTCACCCTGTGCTTTTGCGGGGCTCTGATTAGCGACGTGGACCCGCAGGCCCAGGTCTGGGTAGCGGGATTAAGGAAGGAGAAATGTCCCGGAGACCAGCAGCCGCCTCGGGGTGATCCTCTGTGGCCGCTGGGACTAAACGGAAGGCAGGCCTGACACATCGCTGCAGAATTCCAAAGTGAGTTGTCCAGCCCTAACTGCGGGGCGGCCTCGGAGAAGGCAGCCGGAGCACTTGCTCCCGTCCCCACTCCACCTTCCAGGTTTGTTTGCACACGGCCTTTCGCCGCTGAGGCTGTTTATTTATTTGTGAAAACACCCTTGCTCTTTCACAGTGTCAGCTCCCAGGACCTGGGGCTTGCTAAGGAGGAGACCCCGGGAAACAAACATGGCTTCAGGCTGAGGCTGAGTGTCTGCATCTCTGGCAAAAGGAAAGGGAAATCCAGAAAGACCTCTTCAATCCCTGTAAATTCTCAGAGATTTGCGGATAAAATAAATTCCCATAAATAACCCGCCGGCCCCTCTGGAGAGGGAAAATCCGGACTCCCCCCAAGCCATCGCCTGGCCAGAGTCGCGGAAGTTTGTGGAGCGGAGATGGTGCGGGCCACCAAGCGAAATGGGGATTCTGAAGCCCCCAGGGGGGATCTATTTGTGCCAGGTGACACCCGAAGGCAAAGTGCAAGAGCTTGCACCCTCCTGTGGCCCTGAGAGCCAGCACCTGAGAGGGGGGATTCGCAGGGCCGAGTTGGGGCGGGAAGCTTAGGGGGTTGGGGGCAGGCGAAGAGTCAAGAGAAACCTATTCCCCCCTCCTCCCCAGAGCTTTCCAGGGCGACACTCACCTCCAAAAATCCCACCTCTTCTATCCGGTGCAAAAGCCAGGAGTGACGCCTCACTGGGGTGGGGGGCTCAGGTGAAGAGTTCGGAAAAAGGCCCCCAAAAGAGATTCCTTTTAGGCCAAACCTTCTTCCAGCTTCTGTCAAGAGTAGCATGTACCTCCCAGCTCGAAGTTGGTTTGTGGTCTTCGACAAATTAAATATTACTGTTTATTACCAGGCATACCCCAATAAAATAAAGAGGCAACCGGGCGATACCGGCTATCTCACCAGCCGCTGCACCTATAGGACTTGGAGACGTCACGAGTCACGCAACCCGTCCGCGCGCTGTCACGCTCGACTGGGGGGCAGTGGCGGGAGGTTAATTTCTCTCCATCTTCGCCTATCAGTCCCCGGGTCTGCGCAGCCACAAGTCCCGGACGCCTGGGCCACGGGAATAAATAAAGAAATAAACAAACCCCGCGCCCTCTGGAGAAATGGGGGTGGCGAACTTCAGACACAAATTGAGCCAAGATCGATTTTCTAAGCGAGGGGAGGGGGCCCTTTCACGAGGGGAGGTGGGACCCCACCGCAGCCCACGCTTGGGAAGCAATCTGGCGGTTCCAGGGGGGACGAGGTCTCTTGCAGGAGCGTCCCCTTATTATTTAAAAATTATTTTTTTCGAGGAGGAGCTCTGGGCAAGGGAATGTTGGGCGTCTCTAGCTGGTTCTGTATGGGACGGGCTAGCTCAGGGTCCCGCGCAGGCCAGCTCAGAAGTAATGACTGGGCTATCGCGGAGGGGAAATGACACAGAGGCGTTGGGAGGGAGACAGAAAGTCGGGGCCTGAGTGTTTCTTGCGGAGAAAAAGTCCATTCTGCGAAGGGTCCTTCTGCTAAGTTGTGGGGTGCGCCTGGGCCCAGCGCTGCGGGCGGGGCAGGGTGCGAGGGGGTGATGGGGTGGGCATGGAGAGAGGCGATTTCTGCAGAGAAAAATGATAGCTCCGGGGCCTGCCGAGGGACGAGGAGCCCTACTTTGTTTTGTAATAATGTTTATTATTGTTTCTGTTCTCATCGATGGGCATAACTTCTACACAGCCCCGTGGAGGGTGCGCGCGAGCTTTTTGCACGCTGCTGGGAACGCGCTGGGTCCGTTGGGAATCGCGCTGCGTAGACGCCCCCGGCGGCGGGAGGGGAGA